GCGCTAATAGCCGTAGTATAACAACAATGCCAAACATAGTCTAGCGTTAAACTCACGCACCCTCTCTCGTAATCCGCCAAAGAGCCGCAGATAGCGCCAATAGGCCATTTGGACCCCCGCCCGATTCTCTGCGGCAACTGTGGACAGACCACATTGTGCCTCGCCTCATGCCGCTGCTGCTTTTGCTACTGCTGCTGCCATTGAGCTCGCATTTCCAATGCAAATGCTCTTGATAATGATTTGCATTTACAGGCAGACCCTGCAGAGCGAACCCACAGTTTACACCATGCACGCACACTTTCCGGCTGGCAGCAGGGCTCTGGATTTCGAGCACAATGGGCAGATAGTTTTAAGCCACCTGGCATCGCTGGCTGCCGCTCATCCTGTTGATGAGGCTGATGAGGCTAATGCCAAACGAATTAGATGCTTTGGCAGCCAGTGAATGTCATTTATCTTCTTCAAATTTAAACTGTTCAAATGCATTACGATAAAGCGGCTCATACTTTTCTATACAAACTCATCATTACGACTGATGAATAGATATAGAAAAAGCGTTGCTCCCCACTCTCTAAGCATTTATTTTTCAGCGATTATACTTTAAATGGTTTTCCATATGAGATAATGCAGTAAAATTAGCTTCACATCGATTCCAGAGACCTCCTTCATTAGGTGAGTTAAGGGCATTTCAAATAGTATCTAAATAGGTATTCTTCTATCAAACCTGTTTTATTTTCTATATATATTTTTTTCTTTTCAGGTTCGATAACTTCAAAGTCTTCAAAATCCAATCGATTATATGAACTTCCACTAAACCTGCCAGCAAATATTTTAAATATGGAAAGGTTACAAAAATTAAATAAGCAACAATTAGACGTTATACTAATATATGTATATTCTTAAAAGCAATAAATAGAAAAGCATTAAGTAACCAAAATAAATAAATATAAAAAGAGAAATAAAAATATATATATTTCAATCTTTAATAGGCTGGGTCTTTAGATTTTACCATAAATTCAGCTGAAATACCAGGCGAATAGAAGTGCACAGTGATAATGTTAAGCTGCTGTCAAATTAGATAACTGCTACATCGACTGTTAAGTCGGCTGTTTAGAAGCAAATTTAAGATTAAGCTAAAATACCAAGCAAACATAAAATACCGGCAATTTTTCGAATGAACATTCTTGTTGCATACGCGCAAGGGTCAACGTGAACCTTACAAGAGACACTTAACAGCCTTAACAGCCGAAATAACAATCGAGCAGCTTAACATTTGAATTTAAAAATCGTTTGTTTACCTGCTAGACATTTCTGTTCGCTGGGTACACCCCCTTGGGTGTATGCAACGCATTTTTTTCTCCGATGCATTTTGGTCTACCTGCTGTGCATTTCTATTCGCCTGGTATTTCAGCTGAATTTATGAAAGAAATACCAGAGTTTTGACCTTAACTTTATATATGTATATTTTTATTATCCTTTTTTATATTTACATCTTTTTGGCTTACTTAATGTACTTTTTCTATTTTTTGCACTTAAGACATGTACATATATGAGTATAACCTATATTGTTGCTTATTCTATTTTATTGCCTACTTTAGTAAAGCATTAAAGCACTATAAGGCAAATAAAGACTGATCCTAGGAAGCTATGCGTTTTAGGATTATTGGAAGACCATAAGTCGATTGGATTTTGAAGATTTTGAACTTCTTGAACCTGAAAAGACAAAAAATACATATATAAAATAAAATATGTTAAACAGAAGACAGATACATTATATCCAAGGGCCATAACTTGAGCAAACGCTGTGCGATCGCAAAATTCGAATAATCGAAGAGGTCCTTAAAATGAATTGGCATTTCCAGGATCAAGCTCATTTTTGTCAATTTGGTCTACCTTTCAAAATGGAAATATCTGAACGCCAAACGAAAGTTCCCGGCCTTGCGAATCACGGAAGGTATATTTTGAAAATCAAGTATCTGAAACACTCTAAATGAATTTAAAAATATTTTAAAAACTTAAAATGAGTCTTCATTGAACGGTGTCCGGTCGCATCTTGGTAAATGGGACATTATGAAAGGAAACACAAGACGGGATCGACAGCAAAAATGAGTTTATTTTGGTTACAGCAGAGTCAATATTAATTTATTTACTTACGACATTTATTTGGACGGATGGCAAGTTATTTGCTTTGTTGTGTTTAGTTTTGTTATTCAATTACCAAAAGTTTTATTTTGGTTTTGGAGAATTTAAGCCAGCATTAGGCATTCGGCATTCAGCATTCAACAGCGTTGGCCAAAAGCAGAAATGCCGGTTATTTATTTACTTTGGACGTTTAGGACTTTTTGCTTGTACACGCTTATTTACTGTTTGCCGAAATGCGAAACCGCAAACACAACTAAGCCCCGCAGTCGACACAAAACACTCCGCCCCCACTGGAAGCCAACAAAGCAAGCGCAACTTGAGAATGGGAAGCTGCTTGCATGCGGAAAAGTTAAACCAGAAATACTTTACCCAACTTAAATGCCTTTCAGTTAAACTGCCCCAAGACCAAGAGGTAGCGGGCGTGGGCGTGGAACGTCACAGGACGTCAAAGTGCGGAAGGCGTAAAGCAGAGAAAAGCCCAGCTACCATACTCGGGGGCAGAAATTATGTAAAAAGGCGCTCGATCGGAGCAAAAAGCCAAACTGAGTGCATGATAACCAACGGTAGGCGGCTAAGGGAACGGGGGCATTTGGTCAGATGTACCCACAAACGGCAGGCATTCAAAAAACACGCACACAGAGCAGCGGGCAGCTGCCCGGCTGGGCAATGCCCGAGTTAGCCTCGATGTTAACACAATTAAATGGGCGGCAGCCTTTAGGGGTGGCAGGAGGCCATGGCGACTGAATGGCAACACGAAATGGTGCACGATGACCGGGCAAGTCAGTGCAGGATGTCATTTTGTGCACTTGCCTTCACTTCCTATGTATTTTTAAGTCATTATTTTTCATTTTCTTCAGCGTTTTTTTTTTCGGTTTTCATTCAGTTTTTTTCGCCTGCTGCCCAGCAACGTTGTAAGCTGCAAGTCACGCGGGGCGTGTGCCCAGCTATATTTTGTTGCTTATCCAAATATTAAAAAATTGTTTCTCAAGATGAACAGCAGTGGTGCAACCGAGCAACACAGAATGCGAAGAACAAAAAAAAAGCTTACAAAACAAAACAAACAACAGCACACCAGAAAAAAATGTGTATCATATTTTATGAGATTCCTTGGCAGTCAGTTAAAGTGTCCCTGCAAAGTATCTGGTGTTGTGCTCTGTTAAATTTATTCGTGTAATTTGCTTTAGAAGCAAAAGGCAGCAATTGCATATACAAATACAATTTCGCCTTTACTCACAGAAAACAGAAATAATTGTAATTAAAATAACTGAGAAATTCGCTTACTTCAAAAGAGAGTGTTAAATCCTACAAGCAACTGCTCTACTTAACATGCACTTCAACATGTACTTTGGCCTGTGTCTACTTCAAGTTGTAACGCATTTAACTGTTTCATCTTGCTTGGCTTTTAAGGGCTTAATGGTTTCTTTGCCCGTACTCTACTCTTTACTCTACTTACCCACTGGCTCTCTTTTCTGGCTGCCTGCTGTCAGCCACTCAGTCATCAGCTTTGGGTGTAACGTGGAAAATATTTACTGCCTTCTAGTTTGTCTTCATTTTTTTTTTTTGTTTGTTCTCCACTGCTCTGGATATTATCCAAGTTGTGCCCAACTCTCAGCTCGACAAATTTTAGGTGCTGTTTCGCATTTTCATTCCCTCTCCCTCCTTGTGGCTAACTGGGATGTGATTTCCGCTGCAATAAAATGGAGTGTCTACCTTAAAGGCTTTATGGCCCCGTTTTGTCGCCGACTGGAATTCGTCATTTTATGGTTATGGGTTCCTTTTCTCTGTCTTTCTTTCTTTTTATGAGCTCTCCACACTTTTGGCCATTTGGTTTGTGCTACTGCCGCTGACCCATTTTTTGTTGGTTAGTTTTCAGCGCTGGTTTTGAGTTTCTGAGACCCAAAAATATTACCATAAAATATTAAATTATTTATGCGCATCCTTTGAGAAAGGGACACCCTGCTTTTATGCCTGCGCTGAATGTAGCCAATTTCTGGCCTCCATTGTCGTTAGTATCCATTTATCATATTCATTTTCAGTGGATTGGATTATAGAGAAAATATCAATACGGAAATGGGAAGCTCTAAGCATCCATTGCTGTACAGCCGAACTTCAAAAGGAAGAGATTTACAAAGCTTTTTAGGCTTGCCTTAAAAACTCTTGAAATATAAGCTATTCTTAGTGCGAGTGCATAAATATACTCGTGACCATTTAAGCCTGGTAGATAATAAAAATAAAAAATATATATATAGCATAAAAAATGACCGCTCTCGTCGGTAGTATCCGACTTGGGGGTACCACTGGAATATGAGTCTTTCCTATTTTAGAAAAAAAGTATCCAAGTTAAATATTTTCAATTTGTATATACTACAAACTAGCCTACTCACCACGTTTCGTGTATTGTTACGCTTTAAAGGCCGATAGAAATTTATCGATATCATGAATATGGGAAGAGATCAATTAAGTTTTTTATAGTTTTCGATATCGACAGATCGTCATATCGACTATGCTCGCAGCTCTAACCAGGTAGACACGGACATAATATAATCGGAAATACTTTATGCCTCCTGTTACATGCATATGCATAAAGCGATTATACCCTTTTAACACACTTCCGATGGTTGCGGGGTATAAAAAGGTATCCGTTCCCCGTTTTTTAGTCGTATTTTATTTGCAAAAATATTTATAGATAATGGTTACCTGGTTTTAGTGTATTTTCAGCGCTAATTGGTTTTTGGATTGCAGTCAAGAATCAATTTCAAAGCGCTTCATGTTTGCAATCCGATTTATGAGGGCTTTTGATGGTGGTTAAAAAAAATAATAAATTGCCTTGGAAAGGCAGTCGATATAAAATACGCCTGCTGTAAGTTTACATGAATTGATTGGGGTTTATTTGTGTATTATTCAGATTTAAGTTTAGCTGATTTGCAATAATCTAATTATTGATCTGTTTCACAACTGTAAATGGCAACATCTCTTTGATTTATTTTCAGAATTTGATTTGTCTTAGTCTAGGAATTAATTATATTACGCTTATTATGTTTTCAATTTTGTGTTCATATCTTTTAAATGTACAACACATACAAGCGCACACTCATACAACAGCGTATGCAGGTATGCGCTAACATTTAACTTAATTACAGAAAGTTGCACCTTCTATTCGCCGCCCCGTCCACTCGCCTTGGGCCGCTGCTATTTACAAAGACGTCTTATAACTGCATATTGCGCAAAAGCTTACAAATAATTGAAGTCCGGGCTGGGCGCTCAATAAGCGAGTCACGTCACAAGTCACGTCTTGGCCAGCAGCCAACGCACTCCCAGCGCTGCCCGCACCGCCGGCACCAGCACCAGCAGCAGCGGGAGCAGCAGCGTCAGCTGCAGAAACGTGCTGCGCTGTTGACACTCTGCTGCGCCGGACATGATAGCCGAAGCGGAGTATTCACCTGTTGGCAATAATGAATGTGTGTGTGTGTGTGTGTGTGTATGTGTGTGTGCGTGTGTGTGCGTGTGTGTGTGCGTGTGTGTGTGTGTGTGTGTGTGCAATTAATATGAATGATATAACTTCCTGACAAAATAATTCACACGTTCTTGCAATCGCTCACGTCACAAGAGCCACTACTAGATATACATATACATACATACATATACGTTTACATATATATATATATGTATATATGTGTGTTCGTGTGTGTGTGTGTCAAGGACTCACCGCTGAGTACGTGCAGGTCAACGGAGACGGAGACACTGTTCGCTGGCTGGCACGTATAATTCCCGGAGTCCTCTTTGCGCACAAATGGTATAATTAATGAGCCGATCTGTAATTAATGCACTCTTTGTTATTTCAACACTCGACTAAACAAATCGAAAGCTTTTTTGATGCCAAAAAGAACACTATGCAATTAAATTGTGTAGCATTAGATGTAAAGAATTAATAAATAATATACTTATTTCTCAAAATATTTTAAAATTAACAGTGGAAGGCAGCAAGCCGCGCTTGAACCGCGCTGGTTCGTAGCCAGAGTTAGTTTCTAAAATAAAGCAAAATAAAATATGAAAATATATATCAAAGATATGAAGAACAAACAAGATTTATGTAAACACGCGACGGTCTGTTGTAAATAAAATGTAAATAATTTCAGAACAATTGTAAAAATAAATATAAGATAAAAATAAATGGCCAACCAAAGTTCGAACAAATGCCTGGGTTCGAAGATGTGGAAAACCAGGTTCATAAGCCGATCCCAACGGCTGGAACCACATGCAGTTGCCTAACTGTGCTGCATAGTGTTAAGTCACCTACCGTATTTTGATTATCGCCCACTGTTCCAAATATATTGCGATCAATTTGCGTATACCAGCCGGTACGCTCATCGCTATCACTTATCTTCTTCTGTCCACGGAACCAGATGATATACCTGGGAGGGTCCAGTGTGCCGCGTACAATGCAATGAAGCGCCACCTTGCTGCCGGCCTTGACGAAGCGGCTCTGATCGCCAATTAGCTCAGTCTTGGGCGCTGCATGGAAAGGGGGAGGGTGAATAAATGAATACTTTATAGTTTAAAGAGCTTAGAAAAATAACTGACACTCACTGACTACTTCCAGATGCACCTTGGCGCTCAGTTTGGGCTCGGTGGCCATTTGGCACTCGTACCAGCCAGCATCGTTGACGTCCACGTACTTGATCTGCAGCGACCAGGTGTAATCATTCTCCTCCTGGTATATCGACTGGAAACGTTCATCGGCTATGAATGTGCTCTCGTCCACGCTGATGATGTGACCATCGCGCAATCGCACCCAAGAGACGGGCTTCTCCGACAGCCGATGGATCTGTAAAATAAAATAATAAATGTAAAACGATTTCTTTGAGAATTTAATAATAATATTTAATAATTTAATTTAATAATTTAATGGATATAAACGGGCACGATATGCGAAAGTGAGCACAATGAAATCAACTTGTCTAATCCGCTGGGCTAACTGTGGATATAAATGTGTGCAAACAACTCAGTCCAAGACTCTAGCGGGTAAAAGTATCCAAAAAGTAAAATATTCTTTATCCATGTGAGCTATGCTATTAACTCCGAGATATGATCAAAAAATGGGGTTTCAATATCGACTTTTATCGATTTCATGGAAATGCTTCCAGATATACGATTGTATATATATGACATCAAAGATGCCGTATTTTTTTTTAATATTCTTTAACCTCCGTTAGATTTCTCTCTTCAAACGAAGTAGCTCATGCTGAATGATGCTGGACAATCTTCGATAGCTCGAAAAAAGCTGCACATAAAGAGAAAGTCAAGTGTGCAAGGTTTCTAGTTGTCACAGAATTCCTATTTGCCGGACCTGAGATAAAACTATGATATTTACATATGGCAAGCAAAAACACAACACACAGTAAAAGGTGGAAATAGAAACCAAAGCAGAGACAGAGGAATAGTGGCAAACTAATTTGCATACATACGAATTTCACAGTGTACTATAATCTACAAAATATACCAACAAGCAGCAGAAAGAATAACAACAAAACTATTATAAGACGCCTCACATTTGCATTTACATGAGTGCAGATGCCTGTCTGTGAGCCTCTTTAAAAGAGCCGAAAAGAGAGCTCATTGTACAGAATAATAAGAAAGAAAAAATTCCAGAAACGTATACGGCACATGGAACGCATGGAGAGGTTATTTGCCTTGTTACGTCATAAAAATAAGCGTAAACAAAATAAATTTGTTGATATGCAAATGAAATTATGCTGATCTGTGAGCAAAGTTCTTGCGCAGACAGCAGACACCGCCAGACAGCCGCAGGCGTTAGGTAAACGAGCTGCGTACTGCCCCCGGAAAACGGAAAAGCAAAACGGAAAACCAAAGTAAAATAGCCAACAAACCAGATAGGTATATCTGAACAGAGTTGAAAAGGCTATTATAACATCTCCATGATTCAGTTGAACTTAGCGAGGCAAATGGTGATTGAGCAGGGAACAATAGGCGATTTATTTTAGAGGGAAGGATATATTTGACGTCTGGAATAATAGCAACTGATTAGAAAAACATGTTTAATGAATGGAATTTGACGAATTTCGGCAATTTGAATGGTAAGAGCTGAAATATTGGGAACCAATTAATTTATTTATATGTACTCACATCTATTTAAAACAAGAGTAACGAGAAAGTAGGGCTATTTTCGGCACGCCGAAGATCTGATACCCTTGGGGATCCAACCTTTTCATAATGCTCATAGTGCTTTGCACGTATCTAAGAAGCACAGGGAAAATAGTTAACGCAAAGTTTGGTCAAGATATCATGATAAACAAAAAAGATGTTTAATCAAAAACCAAGTTTTTGACCGATCCTTATTATTATTCGAACTCGAACTTGCGACAGACCGCACCACCTGCTATGCCTCTATTCAGCAACCACGCCAACAATTAAATACTTTTGATAAAAAAAGGAACTTAAATAACATTAAAAAAAAAGATGCAATTGCCATGCTGTTAGAATGCGAAGCAGAAGCGCATGAATGTGTGTGTGTACATGTATACAGAAATTCATAATGCTTCCCCCATTCAATTGCGCAGTTGCATATAACTTTTGGTTTTTCTTAATCGATCTTTATGAAATTTTCTACAGTATATCTTATTGTACCATAGAATATTTGTGTATTCTGAAAAAGTCAATTGCATTTAAATTGTGGTTTAAATTGGTTGGCAATAAAAGTTGGGTTATTAACTTGATTTATAGCTCTGGGGTGGTAGCGGGGAGGTGGCGATAGGTATGCAATGAAAGATACTTGAAATATCTATAATATTCTAGAATCAACATATCATGTTTGGTGGCTCTAGCTCTTATTATTTACCCAATTTGCTCAAAAAAACAGGATGTCGATATCGATTCTTATCGATTGCTTGGGAACGGAGTAAGTTATCGAATATCGGAAACAGGCCCTAGGGTCACCTACATCTAAAATTTCAAGTCTCTAGCACTTATAGGTTCTGAGAACCTTTCGTTCATACATATGGACGGACGGACGGATGGACAGGCAGACGGACATGGCTAGATCTACTCGGCTATTGATGCTGATCAAGAATATATATACTTTATGGGGTCGGAGAGGCTTCCTTCTGCCTGTTACATACATTTGGATTTTGCAAAAATACAATATACCCTTATATCCATTTTTAATGGGTTCAAGGTATATAAATGAAGGGAACTTAGTTTTCTATACAAAAACTTAATTTTCGACCGATCGTTTCTATGGCAAATATATGATATAATGGTCCGATCCAGCTGGTTATAACTTTGTGCTGCGTGCAATAGAAAGCGGGACTTCTGCAAATTTTCATAATGATAGCTTTAAAACTGAGGCATTAGTTAGCATAGAAACCGGACACTACAACCTCTTAGTTGTTTTATCATGTGGATATCAAATATGTTTTAGGTGTTAATTTTGAGGAAAACAATGGGAAATGTATTTATTTGTATAATTAGAGCAAATCGTCTAGGATTGAAACTATCCCAAATCATATTATATATGTTTTGATTTATGCGAATTATAGGAATAAATGGGAATTGAAAGGTTGAGTTGTAGGAAATACAACAAATTTAATAATTTTTAAAAACTGGAGCATATCATGCGGTTACCTAGAATTAAAGCATATTTTAAAAGTATCTTAGCAATGACTTTTTAAACCAGAAAAAGTCTTCAAATGATAAAAATAAGCTGGTGGCTTAAAGACATGTGTTATGAAGCGAGAAAATGAATTTTATTTATTTTTCTATTCTTAGCAAATAAGAGCAAGGGAATTTGGGGACATGATTAAGATATCTTTCAATTCAAAAAGAGAATGTGTTATAGTGAGAAATGAAGATGAAGTGAGAAATTAGGATTTTTGATAGAATACATGTGTAATAACACGAATTAGGGGAACATATGTAATGGGTATCAAAAGTTCGTGCTTGAGTTATGGAAAACACAAGAAATTTTATAAGCTAGAGAATTTAATAATGTAGCCTTGAACTATCTCTACACACATCTCGGGCACACATATGTTTAGGTCTACACGTTACGTAAGTGGAATATACAATTAACACACACACATGTGTGTACACACATATACATACATAACATGACACACATCCCTCAGCTCTGTTGCAATACGGGCGTGGAAATGAATGCCTCTGCTTGGACCTGGGATTAAGTTAGGGTCTGGGATTTTGGTCTGGTCTGGTGTTTGGGTGTCAAAAGTACTCACCTGACATGGCATATACGCGTGATTTCCCATCTGAGCCGTGATGTTTAGCACAGGCATTGTCAGATTTTTGCGCGGCAGCTGCCCCGGCAGCAGTTCCCCATTGTGGGAGGCCAAGTACGAGTGCTGCTCATTAAACATTTGTTGTCGCTGCTGCTCCGGTGACAACGTCACTGTCTCCGTCGCCGGAGTTGATGCTGCTGCGGCAGCGGCAGCGGCAGCGGCTGCCTCAGCTTCAGCAGCAGCAGCTCGGTATGCAGGCAAATCAGCGGCCGCGAACACTGGAAACGGCGGCAGAAACGTGGGTATGGAGAAACCCTTAGTCAGTGAATCAGTGTTGGCCGGATGAGGAAGCTGCAACACCGCACTTTCCCCCTCCTCTTTCCGCTCCCTTCCCTCCTCATCCTCCTGCAACTTCTGCAACTCCTGCCCCGCTTCAACCGATGGCCGTGACGTTGCCGTTTCAATGGAGTTGCGGGCTTCCGTTTCCGTCAGCGTAAGCGTCGTCCTCGTCGTCGCCGTTGGGACAACCATCGCAGGCTCTGTTGTTGATGTCGGATAAATTGTTGATATGAACAGCGATGCCATCGCCGTTGTTTCCATTGTTGTTGTTTTTGTTGTTGCAGCGATTGTTGTTTGTGTTTCAGCCACCGTTGCGGGCTGCGTAGTTAGCCCAATTTGTGCGGACTTAGTTGCCGCTGCGGCACCTCCTGCCAGCCTCCTAGTCGCAGACCTTGTTATCGTTGGCGCTGTTGATGACATGCCCAGGGTCGTGCTCCTATGGCCTCTCTCTGTTGTTGCCGTTATTTCTGTTGTTGTCGCTGCTGCTGCAGCGGCTGGCTTTTTCGTTGTCAGTAATGTTGTTGAGTTTCGGGCTGTCGTAATTAGATCGTTTTGTGTTGTCATTTGGCTATCTGCCAAAGTGGATCTCGGCTGTGTCGTTAGCTGCGGCTCTGTGGCAACCACCTGGTCGTAGGCTGAGCTGCAGGTGACAAGGTCTGTGGGTAAACAGAACACACGGAAATATACTCCACTTAAATATGCTGTTGCAGATGTGAGTAGGACATTGATAGAGCGACTTTCGAATGCTTAAACATTCAAGATACAAACTTAAAACCAATGATTACATATATTAAAAATTGCACTCTATGCCTGTGTGGCATTTGTGAGCTGGGCTTTTGCTTAGTTGTAAACGAGCAGTGCCCTAAAGCTGTCATAAAGATCTTTGTTATTATCACACTTTAAATTAAATAAAGAACTTTTTTAGCTGCTGTTGTCGCTGATAAAAAATTAATTGCTAATATCGAGGAAACCTTGAAAAGCAGCAAGGCTAAATTTTTAAGTACAGGCCTAATTAAAGCTGCCTAAAAGGGTGCTTGTAGTTTTAAAGCGCTTTGCAATTATTTAATAAACTAAATAAAAAACTTTTTGTTGCTGCAGTTTTTGGCATATTCCCTGCAAAAAATCGAATGTATTTTTTCTTTACGAGACAGCTCAAAGCATTCTAGAATCAATAAACAAAAGTATGCCCACAATCCTAAGTAAATAAATAAAAGTAAGTTGTTTTTCTGGCACTGCAGACAAATTAAAATGTCTGCGGGGCATATCAGAGTGTAATAAAGCTGCCTTTCAAAAGAAAATTCAAATATTTTAAAGACCCTTAAACATGCGTGTGTGTGCATAACTTTATGAGTAACTGTTGGTCCAGGTAAAGCTCTCACTTGCTTGTTATGTATATATTTTGTTTCAGTTAATTTTTAATTACGCTTTTATGCTAATTAAAATCATAAAAAAAGTATTTGCTGCTTTCTGTCGCTGCTGCGGCTTTCACTTGGGGAAGGCAGCTCAGGGATTGCAGTGCCGTGGGGCGAGCCATTGAAAAGTTTTTGCCTTTTGAGTTTTTCCTTTTGCCATATTCGGTCTTTTAAAATACACGAGTTTTGGTGTTTTTATGTTGAGTAAAAAGTTGCGAGTCGTTTATAATTATTAGCATTTTCGCTGTGTTAAATAATGTTAACACACTTGTGACGTCATCAGAGCACACACACAAACACGCCATCGTGGCCAATGGTGGCCATTAAAAACAATAATATATTTATATTTATATACAATATACGGCTTAAACAAAAACTTTTGAAAGCTAATTGAATTTGGGATTTTAATTTCAATTTAGAATTTGGTTTGCAAATAAACGAGTTAGTGGCAATTTTATAAATTTAGGCACAAGCTTATTTTTGCAGTTCGGATTAAATTTTAAATAAAATAAAATCAACAAAAATTGAAGAGCAATAAAAGGCAAACAAAACTAACTAAAGTATATTAAAAGATTACAGGCTAATCACTTCGGACAGTAAATTTTCCCACACATTTTCATTTTTCTTTGCCAAACTAAGCAGAGTGTGTGTGAATGGGTGTGCGTGTGTGTGCAGCAGTTTTGCCAGTGATTAGCTTGCCATACATCTCAACTTTTCGCTGGCAAAAGTTGCTGTCACGACCCTCAAAAGAACTTGTCGCCTCGGGGTCAATAGGCAGCACAAAAAAATGGAGAAAATGATGAGGGCGTGAACTCAGAACTCGATGTCTTTCATGTGGAAAGTTTTGCCAGCCCCCACACAAATTGAGCTGGCGTTGAATCCAAAACTGTTTGAAACAAGTTACATGCGATTTTTTGCCGTGTTCTTTTTTTATTTTGCCAACTTTTCTCGGTGGTTTTGGTTTTGTTTGAGTTTTGTATTACAAAACGATTAATTTGAAAGACTTGAATGAGCTCAACTTTCGATTCAATTTGTCATTTCTTTTATCACGTACTTGATTCAGTTTTCTTTTGAGTTGACATTTCTTTTATTAATCATCAAATAATATTTATCCTTTTTTTTTGGTCCTATAAAATATGTATAAACTGTGTTATTTAAATTTCTTTGTTGCTTCAAAATAATTTGATTAAATTCAAAATAGCCCAAATCTTGGCCAACAGGCAGCATATTGCCCGTAAAAGGTCAAAGCACATGTATCCAAACCAAATTTAGGCCCGCAGAAAGGTTGGCAGAGCGCACAGCTCGCCACTGGGCCAAAAATCAGTCGTCTAGTCATGGGTTTAGGCTGATTGCAGATTTTTAGTTAGATTTCGACGCGCCGATAGCCAAAGAATTTGCATTTTTAAATTATTTCATTTCACGTTCTTGTCAGGCTTTGATAAAGGTACACTTTCTACCTGACGCTCCTGTTCCCGTTCCTCCATCTTCTACCTCCTATCATTTTTCAAGTTTTCAGTTTTCCGAAAGCGTGCAAAACATAGCACAAAAAACCGCATAAATTTAGCCAAGAATTGGACGAATGTGCATGCGAATGCGTGAGATTGGGGCGTGGCGATAAGGTTGCGGCTCGGCAGCCAGCTAAAAATGTAAAAAGGTAAAAGGGCACCTGTAACCACAAAAACACAACCAACAAAAAAAAAGGGCTCAAATGTGCAAAATGCAAATTGAAAACGAAACGTAATAGTAAATTTAAAGGTTACTCTAACGCCCGCAACCATTACTCAGGCAGCTCTTGGCCAATTGTATGCCGATTTTTGTTTGTGGAAAAAGTATCTTAAGGATGCATTGCTTAAGTTTTCAATTAAAACAGCTTATGGCCAATAAGCCGCTTCTAGGCTTAGGAATTGCGCATTGGTCAAAGCCAGTTTTTGGCCGAGTTAAATCGGAAAGTATTACAATCTGGCCAGAGCCGAACTTCTCGTCTGTGCGAAAGGCTTTGTTTATTTTGGCTTCTAAGCCGATTAATTTACAGGCCACAGCAGGGAGTATCGGCGTGTGTTTGTGTTTGTGTGTGTGCGCGTGTGCGTGTGTTTATCTTATTTCGCAAGGAACTCGTGTGAAGTGTGATCTCAACACTTACTGCACTTGGCGACAAAATGGCGACAGTCAGCAAACGGCAGGCTCTACGCCCTTCAGCCACAATTGCTTGGCCAACAAAAACAAATACGCAGCGGTGTGCGAGTACGGAGCAGCCAGGATGTCGGGACACTATGTGGGCGCTGCCAGGACATGTTAGCGAAACGTGCAATAACACTTAAATTGTTTTTGTTGAGTTTGTGGCCATCCACTCGAATTGCCCGTCGGCATGGTGAGTATCTCAGCTGCTACTTCAAACCCAAGCCCCTTCCCTTCTAAAGAGCTCTTCAAACTGAGCGTTTAGTTTTTTGTTTAAGCAGCAGTTGCCACAGCATTTGCCGAGGTTCATTATTTAAGCCTGTTACCAAAATGAACAAGCGCTTTCCCATCTGCCAGCTACTCTTTGCCAGGTCTGCACACAAACCGAATAGTAATGCTCCCAAATGAGTCACAGAATTGCTCACACGCATACACTCACCCACACACACTCGCACAGCCCGCATTGATTGCATGTATATGTAAATTTGAATTTCTCTTCTGTCCAACTTGCTCATCAGCGGGCAATAGTTGCCCTCAAACAGTGGGCTTTTTTTGAAGACATGCGAATAAAAGCTCAGACGAAACGCATTTTGAACATACGATCAATAAGCAAGTCAGCTTTTAAATCTCTCCTAGAGATTGAGTCGATCAATGCGAACAAATTTTTCAAATTTTTTTTCATGTTCGAAGTAATTGTTTCTTAATGCATTTTACAAATTGCGGAGCCTCAAACATGTAGCCTACTCGAGCGGCTCGACAATCGACAACTCAAGTCTGACAGCTGAATTAATTGAATATCCGAGCTTTTAAGCACACATTTTAATCAGTTTGCCCACTGTTCACAGCGTTCATACATGCAAGGTAACATTTTTATGTGTTGCTCTATTGCAGCAGACATTGAAACCTCTCTCCTTCACAGGTACAGGTGCAGACAGGTCCGTATGCTGTTTTTTGACCCAAGTTCTATGACCTTTTACTCTAATACCTAATGGACTTTACTGGCCAAACAGCAGCTGGGTAACTTCAGGCATATACAAGGCTGATTTTGCTTACACATCTTTAACCTGATTTCCTCTCTGTAAATTATAACAAATTAAATAAAACAATAGAACATTGAACCAGCGACTTCTCTCTTGTTAGTTCGCCGCTCAGACAGTTGACACACCACGCACTTCTTGTTGATGATTTTCATATAAATTTTGTACCCAGTTTTCTCCCACTTGTGGGTCGAGTTTTCCTATGCGTTGATCACCCGTGAGTGAGTCGGACAATCTGGAAAAACTCTTTTAATTACATAGTTTCTAACACAACTTTATGCATTTGAAAATCCAAAATAATGCCCCAATGGTCATAATACACACACAGCAGACTTCACACGCTTTCATTGCGTTGCGCCCCTCTGGTAAAGGTCAGTGGATTAATTATGATTTCATGCTTAACGGCATTTTGTTGGCCATTTGATGCGTGTTCACGTACATCATTAGCGGAGCATCAAACTTTGGCCAAAAGCCAGTCGCAACTTTTTATGGGCTGACGCAGAACGGCGCACTTGTAATTATAAAAAAATATGCATCTGTAATTCGGAGAAGCCGAGGGCGAAAAGTAATTATATATCCAATAAAAAGTCATGGCGGCAGGAAGCGCAGCCGGCAGCGGTCATAATTAAAAATCCTCCAACTAAACACTCTAAATTCTAGCTAACACGCCACCAGTCGCCGCAATCTGATATCTGTGTGCGAACATGCAAAGCCGCACTTGTGGCGACTTAAGGAACAGGGCCAAGTGGAGGTGCCACCAGCCATGACCAGGTCCGGGCAGACCGCAGCCTTAATCACCAGTGAACACACACACAAACGCACATAAAGGCAAAACTTTTCATTGGGGACTACTTTGGGTTATGGGCGCCTCGAGTGCGCATAAAACACGCGCCAGCAGATAGCTCCAGGCGTTTGGATTAGCTTCTAGCAGAACCGAACCCCTGCCCGTAACTGCTGAGTTAAGATAGTTGGCTAAATTGTGTCTATTTGACTGTTGACAATTCTTAACTTGCTCTTGTTGTTACTGCGGTT